TAAGTGCTATTGCTATTTTCCTTCCTTCCTTCCTTCCTTCCTTCCTTCCTTCCTTCCTTCCTTCTTTCCCTCCCAGTGATTAGAATGTGGTATTACTGGCTAACTCTGCCCACTGCCGGGAGTTCGATCCTGACTGGCTCAAGATTGACCCAGCCTTCCATCCTTCCGAGGTGAGTCAAATGAGGACCCAGATTGTTGGGGGCAAGAGGCTGACTCTGTCAACCACTTATAGAGGGCTGTAAAAAGCACTATGAAGCGGTATATAAGTCTAAGTGCTATTGCTATTTTCCTTCCTTCCTTCCTTCCTTCCTTCCTTCCTTCCTTCCTTCCTTCCTTCCCTCCCTCCCTCCCTCCCTCCCTCCCTGTGATTAGAATGTGGTATTACTGGCTAATTCTGTCCACTGCCAGCAGTTCGATCCTGACTGGCTCAAGGTTGACTCAGCCTTCCACCCTTCCGAGGTGGGTAAAATATGAAGACCCAGATTGTTTGGGGCAAGAGGCTGACTCTGTCAACCGCTTAGAGAGGGCTGTAAAGCACTGTGAAGTAAGTGCTATTGCTATGGGTAGTTTGGGACAACCTATTGCAATCTTGTCTAGGGCTTCACTCTGGGGTGTCATTCATGGACTTCCCAGCAGCAAAAACAGACTTGCAAATGACCTTAAAATTCAATGGAGCTGATTATCCTCTGTTGACCCCCATAAGGTTCTCCAATACTGTTTATTCTCTGTGCTACTGTTTAATCTCGCTTGAATGATTTTTAAGACTCAAAATCCCCTCTTCCCTGGTCTTCTGAATGGCTGGTTGTTTGAGGTTTGAGCTTCCCTCTCCTTAGGTCCAAAACTAGCCAGGGGACCTTATGCCGGTCCCCCCTTTCTTAGCCCCGGGGAGCAAGCAATGGCCAACCACTTCCAAAAAGGAGTTTTCCCAGGGATCAAGACTGACCCAAAGGGACAGAAACAAAGAATCAACCAAGTTGATTAAGGAGGCTACTGTTGTGGCCCACCAGCGGACAGCGGAGCTGGCATCAGATTCAGACAATGAGGAGGTTGGGGAGGAACATGGGCCAGTCCTGGAGGCTGGGGAAGGCTCTGATGAGGGCTCTGTGTTGGAGGCAGAGATGGGGCCCTGCTGCCTTCGTAGTTGGAGATCAGTGAGGCAGACGAACCGCCTGAGCCTGTTCCCAGTCTGCGCATGCGCAGAGCTGCCAGACGAAGGGAACAGCTAAAGAACAGGGGTCAATTTAGGAGTAAGGCCACAGGTGGAAGGTGAATGCCCCCCTCCCCAGGGAATAAAAGAGGAGCGAAAGGGGAGTGGAGCTTGCAGGAGGCAATTAGTTCATTCCTGCATTCTTACCAATTATCACAGAATCTGAAAGACCTCGGTCTGGCCACTCTCCAAGCCTGATAAAGGTCGGTAATTGTGAACTATCTTGAAAGACTGTGGGAGAGGAAAGACTTTGCTGGAGAGGAATTCACTCTCAATTAAATAAAAGGGGTTTATTGGGGTGAGGACTCGGCTTCGTGCTGCTGGGGAAGCCTAGGTCAGAGAAGCTACCTTCTGGAAGACGTAGCCACCTTCTGGTCCCCAACCCACAATGGGGTCCGTGGAAGGCTTTCCGTTGATGTTAGGTTGGGAGTTGATGGTCAGGATGCCCCTCCGGTTGACTTTAACCAGCTCGTCCTTCATGAGGTTGGTCTCAGAGGCCAGAGGGTCATCGTTCCATGGCAAACAGGTGACCTTGGGGAAAAGGACAATAGATTAAAAGCTGTAGAAGTATGTTTCCCTCATCAACCTCGGTCCTTGGAAGACGGGTGGACTTCAACTCCCAGAATTCCCTGCACTTCTGTAACTGTCTGGTTTGGCCCAACAAGAGAGACACAGACTTCAGAGGATAATTAGAACTGCAGAAAAAAATTAATTACTCCCAGCCTGCAGTATTGAGGACCTGTACACTGCACGAGTCAAAAAGAGGGCTGTGAAAATCTCTACAGACCCCCCACATCCTGGGCATAAATTGTTTCAACTCCTACCCTCAAAACGATGCTATAGAGCACTGCACACCAGAACAACTAGACACAAAGACAGTTTTCCCCCATGCCATCACTCTGCTAAACAACTAATTCCCACAACACTGTCAAATTATCTACCAAGACAGTATTACTATTATTCTTCTCATCCTTCCTATTACCTATCTCCTCCCACTTATGACTGTAACCATGTTGCTTGTATCTTAAGATTTAAATTGTTTAGTTTAAATTTATTTAGTTTCCTAGTACGATTTTGATTGCTTATTTAGTATCCTATGAGTATCACTGTCTTGTATCATGATTCTTGATGAATATATTTTTATGGACACCGAGAGCTTCTGCAGTGTCTAGTCTAGTCTCTATAGCGTCTAGTCTAGTCTAGTTTCAAATCTAATCTAGTCTCTAGTCTCTACTCTAGTCTAATCTAGTGTCGAATCTACTGTGTTTCCCCGAAATTACGACATTAAGACCATGTCATATTTTTCCTGTGGGCTAAAATATACACCCTCCCCCAATAATAAGCCCCCTGGACACCCCCCCCTCTCCAGCCAGGCAGAGCGCCACTCACCAACCTAGCGATATCCCAAAGGCGCACAGCCGCAGGAGCCAGGGGGAGGGGGGCAAAGGCGCTCACATTGCTTGATGCTTTTGGGAGACCGCTAGGTTGGTGGTTGGCACTGTGCCCAGCTGGAGTGGAGGGTTGCTGGGCAGCTGCTCTCACGAGCAACCGCCCGGCAACGCCCCTTTTCAGCTGGGCAGAGCGCCACTCACTGACCCAGTAATATCCCAAAGGTGCTAAGCCGCGTGGCGCTCTGCCCAGCTGGAAAGAGAGGTTGCGCAAGCACTTGTTCTGCCTCCAGCTCACGTGGCTCCCAGCCTCAACATGCCCAGCTCTCCCTGCAGGGCCGGGCCGGACCAGGGCGCCGCTGCTGCCATGGCCCCGCTGCCACAGCCACACTGCCGTCGCCATGCTCCGAGCATAACCGGCTTCAAAACTCCAGAGATCCGCTGCTGACTCTTCCAGCAGCGGCCGCTATGGGACTATGCTTTATGGTTGTGTGCTAGCTGTTGGAAGACTCTGGTGGGACAGAGAGTTCCCACGGCCAGCCCACAGCCATAGAGTGTAGTCCCAGAGCGGCCGCTGCCCGAAGACTCAAGAGTCTTCCCGCAGCCAGCCCACAACCATAGTGTAGTCCCAGAGCGGCCGCTGCCTGAAGACTCAAGAGTCTTCCCGCAGCCAGCCCACAACCATAGAGTGTAGTCCCAGAGCGGCCGCTGCCAGAAGACTCAAGAGTCTTCCCGCAGCCAGCCCACAGCCATAGAGTGTAGTCCCAGAGCGGCCGCTGCCCGAAGACTCAAGAGTCTTCCCGCAGCCAACCCACAACCATAGAGCGTAGTCTAACCCTTATACCAGAAGTGTGTTGCTACCTGTTCGCACCAGTTCGGGAGAACTAGTAATGGAAATTGTGACTGGGTCACCGAACCAGCAAGGGCTGCAGGCTCACCCCGCCTCCAAACCGGTTCCCCAGTCACCGCGGCATGTTTGACAGTTTTAATCGTCTGTGCATGTGCCCACCGCTGCTTTATACATTTTAGATAGCTTATCTGGTTTTAGATACCAGCGGCCAAGGTTGAGATACATGGTTGAAGAAGGAACTCTCCACCAAAGCAGCCAACTTTGGCTTTGTCTACTCATGGCCAACATCAATCCATCTTCTTCTTTTACCAGAAAATGTCCATGCTTTTCATGAATGCTCACCTTGTGTCCATTTCTGTTGGCCTCTCCAGCGATGTAGCACCTGAAGACTTCGTAGACGCTCTCCTCGCTGGTCAGCTCTTCTCCCCACATCTTCAGGAGTTCTTCCCGGGGGGATTTGCTCTTCAAGTAGAAAAGGTAGTAGTCTTTCAGCTCCCCAAAGGCGGGGGACGAAGAGTTGCCCCTGGGGATTTGGGGGAGAATTGACAAGAAGTTGAAGAGACAGAAGAACCAAAGTAGGAAATTCTCTATCGTCTTGGTCGATTGTTGCCTTTAAATTAATGTTTCAATTAGTGAATTAAATACAGATTAATTCATAAATATGTGAAAACAACCTAGGGAGCGTTGGAAAAAAAATAAGACTTGCTGCTATTTTTTTCCAAAGATGAGTCGTTGCTAGCCTCCTTTTAGATTGCAGGTTGGACTGTGAGAAATAGGCTAACTAGAAATCAACCCACTGTGGTTGTAGGTCAAGGACTGTCTATCTATAATTTATGCTAAAATTTTGGGGATTATATATGATGTATATAAAAACAGAATCCGACAACCAAATCCTGAATAAGGAGCTGACGTGAATTTGTTTTAAGCACGATTGTTTTCCAGTACAAGCTATTTCGTTTTGCATCAGCGGACAAGAGCACTACACTCACCATCGTCCATTGGGGAATTCGTCCCACTCCTGCGTCCGATAGATGTAGCTCTTCGGCCGGGAAGCCCAGAAAATAGGCCGGACGTCTTCGACGCGCCGTTTGGGGTGAGCACTGACCGCCCATGGCAAGGGACGCCTGGCATGGAGAATACCAGGGATGGAAAAATTAAAAACAGTTCAAACTCTAGATCAGACTTTTCCAGGGCTACCCTGAACTACCCTTGGTTGTGAAATGAAGTAAGTTAGTTTGGAATCTTCCCTCAGGATTTTTGAAATTTTGGTTCTGTTTTTCTTAATTTGTATCTTGCAATCTATCCTGCCTTCTCCTGGATGTCAACAGTGGCATTTTTTTTTAAAAAGCAAGCCGACTCCAAACTCAGCTTAAAGGGGAAGTGAGGTCAAAGGAATTAATGAATTATTATTCATTATTATTATTATTCATAGCCAAGGTCTCCAAACTTGGCGACTTTAAGACTTTCAACTCCCACCATTCCCCTGAAATTTGGCCACTTTAAGACTGGTGGACTTCAACTCCCTGAATTCCACAGAAACTGGGCCATCTTTAAGACGTGCGTACTTTAACTCCCAGAATTCCCCTGAAACATGCCCACTTTAAGTCTTCATAGACTTCAACTCCCAGAATTCCACAGAAACTGGGCCATCTTTAAGACTTGCGTATTTCAACTCCCAGAATTCCCCAGAAACATGCCCACTTGTAAATCTTCATAGACTTCAACTCCCAGAATTCCTCTGAAACTTGGACAATTTTAAGACTTGTGGACCAACTCCCAGAATTCCACAGAAACTGGGCCATCTTTAAGACTTGCGTATTTCAACTCCCAGAATTCCCCAGAAACATGCCCACTTTTAAATCTTCATAGACTTCAACTCCCAGAATTCCTCTGAAACTTGGACAATTTTAAGACTTGTGGACCAACTCCCAGAATTCCACAGCCAGATTGACTTCTGGGAGTTGAAGTC